CAGGTGGGGGATCACACCCAGCTAACATCTAAGCCTGTGTGATAGCCTCACACAGCCAGTGAGACAGCCATGGTTTGGATAAAGGTTGTCCAACAGAATGTCTCCTACAATCAACAAAACAGTTGTTGTGTCTGTCAACTTAATGGGACAGCGCGTGCACCGGAGAGAGAGCATGAAGTTCTTTCTCTGGCTCATCTCTGTGGGGCGGAGGAAAGAACCCATCCAGGTAATGACTCTGGACCGAACAAAGGATATTATTATTATTGATGCATAGGCAGGATTCGGTCTCAGAACGGCTGAGCTGCCATCTTCGTGTATGAGAAGGCACCCCGGTGAGACAGACAGTGCGCACAGATGGCCCACTCGCTTAGCCGAAGTTAGGGCTAAGAGGAGTGTTGTCTCCAGAGAGAGATGTTTGAGAGAGATTTCTGTTATGGGCTCAAAGGGGGGTTCCCTGAGTGCGTGTAAAACCAGAGGTAATCCCACTGAGGTGCCACTGAACGCGTCACAGGCTAGTCTGCCTATGCCCCTGAGAAAGCGTTTCATCAGCGGGTGTGCAAAAAAAACACAATTCGCTCACCAAAGCCTTCATGGCATGAAGAGATGGCAGCGGCATTGCGTACACAGTAGACAAAGCCAGGCTTCTTTCTACCAGGATCTGTAGAAAAATTCAGCACTTAAGACAGTGGGCAGGAAGTGGGAGCTGTGCCCCTCTCCATGTGCCAACATTGAAAAACTGACCATTTGCAGCTTAAGGTGCAGTAATAGACGGAGCTCTCATGCACTGAATTGCGTGTATGACCGCCGGAGGCAACCTTAGGCTCCCCAGTCACTCCCATTCAGGGGCCAGGCCCACAGCCATTGACCTGACACGGGGCACTACTGGATCGTGAGACGTGTGATGTGGCTCTACCCAGGGGAACTCCCAGTGTGCTGACGGTGGGAATTCCCCAGGTCTGATTGGACCAAGGGGGGAATCGTGAGCACGCGCCTCTTGTGGTGCACTGGGTCAAGGTGCAGACGGCCAAACCACCTCTGGAAATTCCTAGTATGATGAAGACCGAGTACCAAGGGGGGAATCGTGAGCACGCGCCTCTTGTGGTGCACTGGGTCAAGGTGCAGACGGCCAAACCACCTCTGGAAATTCCTAGTATGATGAAGACCGAGTGGAACTACGACATGACTGGCTGACATTGTTTCCAGTAATAAGCTTGACAGATAGAGCTGTTACTCTCGTGTGGGGAACAACACGCTGCAGGAGAGATGAAAACACTTCTCACCTGGCGGGTAACAGCCTCGCGTCCATGCTAAGAGAGTCTAAGTGCACTCCCAGGTAGACGATTGTCTGGGTGGGCACTGCAGAGCTCTTTGTCCAGTTATTGCAAAAAGCAGTTGTGTCAGGAGTTGCATCAGCACCGCTATGTGATGTCTGGCACACGCCATCAGAATCAGGTCATCTAATAAAAGAGGACTCTGACTCCTGCTCTGCGTAGCAGTTCTACCGCCACTTCACTGCACTCAGAATAAAGTGGGGGTGCTAGTGAATAGCTGAAGGGCAGCCTGATGAGTCTGAGTGCACTCCCAGGTGAGAATAGTCTGGGAGGGTACCAATGAGCGCTCGTCCTTCTTTCTTTCCGTATGGGTTTATTGCCAATAAACAGCTGTGTCAGGCACTGCACCAGCCCCCTGTGTGAAAATCCACTTGAGGTCTGGGGCACATCATCAGAATCAGATCATCAAATAAAAGAGGACTTTGATTCCTGTTCTGTGTAGCGGTACTAACACCACTTCCACGCACTTGGAAAAACGTGCGGGGGGCCAGTGGATAGCCAAAGGGCAGACTATTGTACTGGAAAAGTGCACCCCGGGAGGAGGAACGCAGGAACTTCCTGTGTTGGTGATAATAGGTGCATGAATAAAATAGGCATCTCACAGATTGATGGAAGTAAACCAATCGCTGGGACGCACACACTCCAGTACTTGTTTGTGGTGAGCATGTGAAACTGTCTCTGTACTATGTAGTTGGTGAAGAGAGACAGATCGAGAACAGGTCTCATTTCGCCTGATTTTTTGGGAACCAGGAAGTAGCACGAGAAGAAGCCCTCATGCTCCTGCCCCAGTGGCACCACAGAGATACAATAGCTGCTTCGGCTAACAGCACCTTCAGCTCTGCTGTCAGCGCAGCGGAGCTTGTAGGTAGAGTCATGTCAGTTTCCAGCACGCCGCTGAAAGCAGGGGGCTGCCTGGAAAAACAGAGTGTAGACGATTCGAATCAGCTTGTTCATCCAAACATTCATGGACAGCTGCTTTCGCTACAGCATGTAACACTCTGTCAGTGGATGAGCGTTTGATGATTTCCGTCAGAAGCGCAGCAGAGCTCCGAAAGCCAGAGGCTAGCTGCCCGGGGGGGCCGGCATACATACATACATACATACATACAAGACTTTCAGAAAATCAGCTGACTTGAATCTTAGCGATGACTTCCACCACATTAACATCAGTATTAACATATTTCTGAGCATTTAAAAATCAATAAATGTCAGCTGCATATGATGCAATAGTTGAATTGTGAACTGTTTACATTGATAATATATAAATGTCGGGCTACCTTATGGAATTATTGGGCTAATGAGACAGGCAGCACATTTGCATTTCTGTTGAAACAATGCTCTTATAGGCATTTTTTTCTTCTGAGACATGGTTATAGCCTAGTTTACCAACAAGTTTAAGCTTCTCCAGTCAATTAACCACAGTGCATGTTGTTACTGCGCATTTGATGTGTGCCAGCATGCACTGCTAACGATTCCTCTTCAGATGAGTGCATGTTGCAGAAACAGTATTTAAACAGATGAATATTGCACTCTAACCGAGATGGGCAAACTCACATAACATTATGCAAAACCTGTCACATCGTCACAGCAGTCTTTTCTCTTGTAGTAGACCATGATGCTTGGAAACACTTCTAATAAAGTACATATCTCACCTTTATGTATGTGTCTTGTCCTAGTGGGTTTTGTTGTCCTTTTTCCCCTCATTCTGCAATTTACTAAATAGATCCAACCTTAATGTACATCCATGCATCGGAAAGTGTCACCACTGAAGTGGGTATTTCATGGTCCCAGTATTGTGTCTGCTGGCTCACTGTCACACTGCCGTGTCTTACTGAGGTGCTTGAATATAATGCAGCCACCGTTAAGGTTTTTAGTAACACCTGTACTTTTCCTCCTGAAATATGATCAATGTGTACACATTCCCATGGTGTCAAATACTAACAGGACCTTTTGCTTCTCACTCTGATGCTAAAGGGTGCCTTTGGCTTTGGCATCCGTATAAGACACTCAGGGTTTTCATTATAGTTAGACACAAAAACTACATGGTTATGTTTAGGAAAGCATCCTGGCTTGGGTTAAAACACTGTGATTAAAAAAAAAAAACACACCAGACATGAGCTCCTCTCTCCTGTAGGAAAGTTTTGTTTGACCCATCTTTTACCCCAGCCATCTCCTAGCCCAGACTTACTTCCTTTTCATGCTATGAACTCTTGATCTGGATGTCAAATACCAACACAAGTGGATACACTATTGAAAATCCTGTGCATCTCCTATGGACACTATAGACAGCCTTATGAGACACTAAAGGTACTCAACATATTGCCAGTATTTGATGGCCCGGGAATGATGTGGTATGATAACTGTTCTGCTGTGATAAAGACCCATATTCCTCAACCCAAAATAAAGTCAGTGTGTGCAACAGTCAGCTGCAATATATTCAGAAGTGTTCCTACTAATCTGCACCCCTCATGTATGGAAATTAGAAATGCCACCTTTTTATCTGTGATCTTAGTAATAAACATAAAATTTTATTTCCACCAATGTCTGCAAAAACTGAACATTCTAACATTTGGTGAATGATGGCAAAGCTGGAGTATGCTGTTTGTAACTGAAGAGATTAACTTCAAAACAAGACAAAGATCATGTTGATACAGTATGATTATCTGTTTGGGAAGTACTTAAAATATTTTTAATGCAAACAGGTGAGTTTAGTTTTCCTGTGCACCTGCAGGGCGACTGAACTGGTGGACGAAAGTTGTTCCAAACTGTCAGAACCTGCTGCCTCTAGCAACAAGCGGTGATGGAAACTGCCTGCTACACGCAGCCTCACTTGGTGAGTGTCATAGACCCTTCAAACAAGACTCCAGTACTGTGCAGATTCACACTCACCTACACATAAACTTTAAAAGAGCTTTGTGGTTAGCCTAAACGTAACTGTATTTTACAGTGATGCGTTAGACATTCACTTGTGTGGCCCACTTAGGAGCCATAGTACAGAATATTAATAATGCTTTAATTAATGTGCAGGTGTTGTTTCAGACTCTGGAATGCATATACAGTACTGGTTAGTAGATGTGAAAGTAATATTCATGCCTAAACGTTTTCCTTCGTAAGATATAGGAATGCTGAAATACAAAAAAAATCCCCTGAAATGAGAGATACAATAGCTGCTTCGGCTAACAGCACCTTCAGCTCTGCTGTCAGCGCAGCGGAGCTTGTAGGTAGAGTACTGGCAGTTTCCAGCACGCCGCT